AATGTGTAAACTCATACTACAATTTGGTCTCTAAATTAAGTCTACTGAGTCTGACAGTTCATAATGAAGCATCAGGAGTGTCCAAAGCCATGATAACCCTGACAATAATTTGCATTTGTCAATTACATTTATTTAGACAACAGAAGCAGACTATTCCAACATGCAAATTATATTTGGATAAGTACAAAGAACTGTTTTAAAATCCCCACTGGTGCAACTCAGGGTTTTTTTCTGTTTTTCAATCTATCCTAAACCCACTTTAGGAGAGATGCCTTTCCTTTCCTGCAGCTATCTACAACATCAAAATACAGCATGAAATGAAGAGTAAATCTACATCAAAAATCTGGAATTAAAAATATTTGCCATTCACAATTACGTCAAGTAAAATTTACTATTACCGAAGAGGGTCCCATAAAACAGCTTCAAAAATGTACAGCAGAAACTAATTACATACCTGCACCACAGAAGAAGAAAGCAAGCTCAGAAATGGAGAATAACATTGTATATTACCATTAAAGCAAAAGCAAAGATCAGATGCCTTGCATCTGTCGTGTGCACCAAAGTAAGAGACATGCAACAAGGGGTAAACAAACACTTACACAAAGAGCAATGACAGAATACAGATACACTTCTTAAACTGTATGCTACACACAATTTGTACTGCAGCACTGGGCTTTTTTTGATCATTTCTCTTCAGAAAAGACAAGAGAACAGCACCATACCTACTCAGCTTTCCATTTCAGAAAACTTCAAAAGTCACCCTTATACAAGTCACAATTCTTTTCCATGCTAAATCATGCAGTTTTATAAAACATCAGCAGTATCTTTTTTAAAGTTGATTTTAAATTCTCAATTTACTTTTTTTTAATGTTCATTTCTGAAGAGACAGTCTACTTTTATCACCTGCAACTCCCTGTTCTTGTATGTTATTATATATTGGGCCAAGATCTGGTTCTGTTCAGTCCCACACACTGCTATAAAATAATTGTGCACAAGACTACACCCTGGTCTGTGTGACACTGCCACAAATATGAGTAAATAATTTGGTTTGCAAGTTTGGTGTGCCACATGAAAAAGAATTTAAAAATGCCAAATGTCTTCAAGCTGGTGGCATCCTTTTACTTTCTTCTATTCAATGTACATGGAATAGAAATAGGATTTTTAATGTTTAACCAGTAGAGAAAATATATGCTTTTTGGTTTTATTTAAAATAATCTATTAAATCACTGCTGCCAAAAGAAATCCTATTAATTACAATTCTTTGAAAATTCATACTTGAACTAATAAAAAGTCCTTTAATAAATATTTCAGCCCTACCTGAAAAAGGCATTCAGGAGATAATTAAGACATACATATTGCTGAAAGATGCAAACATTCAGAAAAATTACACCATTTCTAGGATAAGGCAATTAAAAAATGGTATGAACCCTGTGTTATGTTGATTTTAAATATGAGAGGCAACAAAAGTAATTTCCTGTATGACTAGCAATGACAATGCTTCTGCTTTTACAGAACTTGAGGAACAAAACAGTATCCACATTGCTTTCACTTCACTTATCTTGACTAATTGTCTTTCTGATTCCTATTAACAACCTTTTCAGAGGTTATTATTACAAAGATTATAATATATGCTTTGTATGGGGAAGAAAGTTACTTTCAGAAGGTGGGAAAATTAAGAGCACTGAAATAAAACCTAAAGCCTTTTACCTTTCTGTCTCCTTTACAAACAGTCAGTTAAATACTCATTAGTGTAATTATTAAAAGATCGCTCAGTAAGATGCAAAATTCTTTGTTAGTCTCAGTCAGCTTCCCACTGGGCAGATGTATACTTCTAATGGTTTTTACTGCAATGGCACCTCAATATCCAAAGAGAAGGGTAATACGACAAACCTTTAGCAAATGGAACAATTCCAGTATTAACCTGGAGCTGGTACTGCCAGCTGAGACAGGACCAGTCTCCAGAGTTGTCAAGCTGTCACACTTCACTAACAGTGACTTCACTTGAACAGTAATAAGGAGAGGGCAGCAGACAGCCTAATTTAATGGCCAGCCCCCACAATTCAGCTTCTCCACAAGGCAGAAATGCTTGTGCAGGGCTCTGAGACTGCCTCTTGAACAGAGATGCTCTTGCTGCTTCCCACACAGCCTCCCACTCTGAAAGGAGAGAATAATAAACTACTCTCCCAGTCTTTACAGAGGCTAATTATCCATCTCCAATAATATTTATTAAATGTATGCCTCCTTTAGCTAAATGATCAAACAAATCCACTGAGTTAGATTTCTCAATTTAGCAACTAGGTAATACAAAGGAATCACAAGCCTTATCTTTCATAATACCATTAGTTCACACTATATCTTGAAAGCAAACATCATAACATCAGCTGAAACCCTCTGTTTTTAAAATGTTTGAAAAGCTGGAAAACATGTAAGGATGTTTCTAAGTTTTCCAAGCATGCATGCTCAATACATGCCGAAAAACCCATTTCTGGAAGTTTTGTTCATGCAAATGATGGAACAGAAGAATAAAGCAGAAGTAAGGAAGTAGAACTCGATACAAATTAAATAACAATGGACACGAACAAAGCCATTTTCTCCAGACTGACCCTGGATTTGTATTTGGAAAGCAAACTTGCATCTGAAGAAAGCAGTGGTGTTTATGCAGAAATAGATACCACAATTTCAAGCTATCATAACATTCCTCATCTACGAGTTTGTTGAAGAATGACTGCAACGTGAGCAAAGTTACAAATTATTAAAGAATAATACACTAAATAAGATGTGTTTCCTTGTAAGGTGACTGAGACTAATAAAACCAAAAGTCGCAGTAGTTTCCTTTTCCACCTTCTTTTAAAGGAAAAGTACCCACACAAAACTCCTGCTCTAGCCAAGGTTGTCTGAGGCTGACAGTCTCTTTAATAACTACTGGAATTATAAGACATATCTTGTTGTGTTGCTCTTACACCTGTTAAGTATTCCCCTAATCTCCCTTCACTCAAGAAAGCTATGGGACCTGTCATGCAGGAAAAGAAAACAGTCTTGTACAATTAAAACCCAGTATCATTTCACATATCCTAGCAGTGTCTCTCTTATGCTCAGCTGTTGCAAAGCTACAGTTTTTCAAGTCACATCTGGGCAAAAACAAGACATGCCAGAAACAAAACATCTTCACCGGTGCTCTCTCTCACTCACAGAAAATTCCGTAAGAGGATGGCAATAATATGTGTGCAGGTTTTGTAAATTTATTTAGAGGCAAAATTAAAATATTCTACACTGTCTTTCCCAAGGAAGCCACAGATTAATAATGAAAGAATCATAATGCAAATACTATATCTCACATATGCATGAATGCAAATCAAAGAACAACTTTCATGCAAATTAGATAATGCACTTTAAATTTACTAAACTAAGATACATATGTTGTCTCTGAGGAAAAACAGAGAAATTATTCCACTAATACCATGACTGTTCAAGGCACCTTCAAAGGATAAAGAAAGAATGAGAAAACCAGAAAGTGAACAGAGTTGCACACCACCAAATACTTTCTGTAACAAAGTAAAGACAACAGAATGCTTAGAAAATACGAATTGCAAAAACCAACACAATTCTGTACACTGCTCCAAAGATATGATCATCAAGATCTGTAACATTCTCTTCCACACCCTTGAAAGGAACCAAGCTGAAGAAAATAAAAGTATACTAAACAATGTGATGGATTCTTTGAGAGAAGTAACAGAAAGCAACAGTAACCAAGCTGAAGAAAATAAAAGTATACTAAACAATGTGATGGATTCTTTGAGAGAAGTAACAGAAAGCAAGTAATGAGCAAAACAAGAAAGAAGACAAAGAATCAAGAAAAAATTCAAGCTGTAATACACAAAAATTCATCTTTCCAGTGAGGGTGAAAAATAGCCACAATAAACAAGAGAAAAAACTCTTCCTAAATCAGAAATTCATCAAGCCACTAAGAACACAGGGAATTACATATCTTATCACTCCTTGTCTGCTGTGTTTGTCTTCACCAAAAGCAGAATGCTTTGTTTTTATTAAACAACAAGAGTCAACTTCAGCACGGTCAACAAAACCAACTAATGGGAAATACAAACGTTAAGTGATGCTATCACTCCTAATTTTATGAAGCTAGGATTGATGAAAAAATAAGCTGAACTGAACAACTGTAGGAAGAAAGTGAAGCCATTTCAGAATTCAAATAAAAATCAGACACCAGCAAAATTTAGAAGACGTACAGGATTAAAGTAATTTCCATCACCTCTCTGTCCCAGAGAGTGCACCACCATAACCATTCACTTTCCTGAAAGCAGTGAAGAGTTCTCTGGGGAAAGGGCACAACAATCCCTTGAAAATCTAGAGTCTAATGACCACTTCTATGTTAAATCAGGACATTTAGGTGCACTGCAGTAAACAGAATTATCAGTAGCCACTACACTTTAAAAAGCCCCTATAAAAGCCACAACTCTTTAACTGCGTAATTTTACTGCCCTTATGTGCATTATCCAATTAAATTCTACCTTAGCAAAAACCTCTGTGCCATAGTCACGTTTCACTTCATTGCTTAAAACCCTGGGAGTCAAAGGCCTTCCTGCTTTACTACTGACACATGCAAACTACTAGGTACTGTATCTAAGAAAATGGGTATGAAATCACTCTTTTATTTTATTCTCTTTACTATGCAGTAAGTAAAGAGAAGGAAATTTCCTACCACAAAACTAAGCAGGTTTTGGCAAGACTGTCTTTCCTTCAAGAGTTACAGCTGACTTCTCCATCTTTTCAAAACATAGCTTAAAAAAAAGCAATACAACTGTAATGCTAACATGTTAAAAATCAATGATAATGTTTCCAACACCACACAACTGATAAAACAATCTCTCAGCATGTTGGAAAGAACAATAAAATTAATTCTTGACTCTTTTTTTAAAATAAGATTTTTCTAAAGCTATTGAACTCTAACTACAAATCTCTGAAACAGTCAACAATATACATACCTGCAATTGGAATATTCTGTGATACTGACAGCTGTACATCTCCAGTCCCAGGTGGCATGTCAATCACTAAGTAGTCCAGTTGACCCCAGTCAACCTAGAAGACAACAATATAAACATATGTGGAGATTTACACATTTTTATTTGGGGCACTTTGTGGTTTAGTGCAGTTCTTTTTGTTTTGTAATGTAAACAAGTGAATCAAGGACCTCTAAAAGAATAATACTGAGATGCCCTCTTAGTCACACTTTCAGCACAGGATCAAGACATTATTGTCTTGAGACACAATCTTTGCTGATCACTCAAAACTATGAGTGCAACTTTATTATTAACTTCATTGGCATAATTATTATTTAATTATTTCCCCCAAAAAATCAGCTAAACTTAAGATGTTTAGTTTAAGCTGCTTAATCATGGGTTAGAAGCAAATGTCAGGTAAAACTCAGGCTAAAAATGAGGAGTTTGTGCAACAAATATCACTTAGTAATTATTTCCATTAATTTAAGACTATTTTCCTGCCTTCTTATCACTTACTGAAACTACCTAGTTTATTTACTAGATACATATTTCATTTTTTTCTCTTTTGTTGTTACAAAGTTAGAGCTACCAGTACTGGATTTTTTTCCTAAGAAAAAGAGGTGTTGGGAGAAAAGAAAAATAACGAAACACCACATCCCAAATTTGTTAAATTAAAATTACCTACAATAATGATACAGAGTGACAACATTCTTAACACCCCAAAATTAGAAAAGTTTAATTGTTGCTTGACATCAAATGAGAGCACCCATTAAAGATATTAGACTCCATTATGAAAATGCTGTGATTACTTAACGTGTTTTTACTAGGATAGATTTTCCAGGAGAGCAAAAAACTCTCCCTAGAGCATAGTGCACCAAGATAAATGTTCCCTTAATGAGAACAGAAATGATCCTAGGCCTACTCTACATAATGGACAGCCTACCTATACTTTATCTAAGTATTTCCCAACAGATACAATGGAATTACATAGTAAGTTTCTGATTAATACAACACATAAAAGATATAACTGTATGAGCTATTTTAAAACAGGAAAATGCCAAACTAGAGCATTGTGTTTTACACATTTCCTCAAGTGTCATTTTAACAGCAAAAAATAATCAACACTTTGCCAATCCCCTAGTTGTTGCATGGAATACTAGACCCTGTCAGGGCAACACTCACTCATTTTCGTTCAGTTCATGTATGGATGATGACCTCCTAAGGAAGCACATCCTACATGAAATCCAGATCACTAACCCACTAAGCACCCCAGTGAGAAATGGAATTTTTCAAGGCAGACTAAGGAAGATTTCAGAGCACTTAGGAGAGAACAGGGATGGAAAAGGTTAGCTGCAAATTCTAACTTTAGGTGTCTAAATTAAGGACTCTCAGGCACACCTCCCTTTTCTCATTTTCTATACAAAGGCTGCAAGACCACTAAACCATGCCTAAGACAGTCAAACTAAACAGGAAATGCCACTTCTGTTAACCAAAGCAAATGCTGTATTTTTTCACATTTGATATTGATCTATGTCATTTATAATATCTGCATTTTGTAAAAAAAAAAAAGACATACATCTAGCAGACTCAAAGCAATTACTATTCATAATCATATTGAGACTACATAACTCCAAAGAAAAACTACACATATGTGCAAAAATATACATACTGAAAAAATTGAGCATAAAGTCATTTTATCTGAAAAAAAAGTCTGGTTTTCACTCTAGTTTTCTTAACTAATCTTGCTTAGTTATTCACCAGATAAATGCCAGTGCTGATGAATGCCTCCTTGTCCAGCAAAAAGTACTTTACTCACATGAAGGCATGAACTTCAAATTTCGATGTTCCTTAATTAAAAATCAACCATTATAAAGGTGAAAAATTGAAATTACATAGATGTAGTACTTTACAACATTCATAAAGCCATGTTCCTTGAAGATTTGTAACTAAACACACAGATCTTCTGTAAGTTACATGTATAAATCTCAATATGCAAAATTCAAATCTTTCATAATAATCAGAACCATTCTGAAATGCCAGGTAGGCATAGGCAGATTTAGTTTTTAAAAAGGATCAATAGATTAATTCAAAATACCTCCCCCTTCCCACCTCCTCATGAAGCTTGATTCTGGCATCTTTTGTTAAGTCCATACATATACGCGATATATAATACCATTTCACTAATCACAGTCTCCTTCCTTAAATGCTTCTACAAAATAGAATCAATAAATTGGTTTTTTGCTTTCTGCCTTGCAGCAAGATGCAGTCTGGAAACACATCTATGAGTGGCATGGCACTACTATCACTGTAACACAGTTTCTAATCATTTTGTCTGCCAAAACCACTTGGTTCTTGGATATATTCTTGGAAAAAAAACTTGGATATTTAGTAGTTTTCAGCCCTATTCTCCAGGAGCTCACATTGAAGTCCTTTTAGGTACAGCACTGCCATATGGAGAAGTACAAAACAATCCAAATCCCACCCTTATCAGAGGTAGCTAGAAAGGAAAACATTTTCTCCTCAAGATAAAAGCTGTCTGCTTTTGCATATAATTGAAGCTAACTTTAAGCTAGCTCCTCCTGTGAAACAAACTGACTTTCTGGGCCTGACCTAGAGCTTTTCTTTTCAGCCTTACCAAAATGTTTTGCTCCTCCTCCAACCTCTTCAAGCACTAATCTCCATCAAGTTCCATGTGATCACCCAACGTACCAAGCATTACAGTTGTGCAACACTACCGGAGGTGACAGCAAACACCACCAGATCAAAGCATTCCCTAGACATTCAGATTTGTGGGGATACACAAAGTTTTGCTCAAGAACTTACTTTCAGAATTTACCCCATATTGTAGTAGGGGAGAAAGGGTACAGAAATCAGAGGGCATGAGAGCCTTCTGCCTCAAAATTCCTTAGTAAGCGACCCATAAACAACCAACATGCACTTTATGGATGGTCCTACAAATAATGATTTTTTAATAAAGTAATAAACTTTTGAAAACTGAAGTTAATAAAGGAGTCTTAAGCACATGGTGAATCTCATGGTAAATCTCATTGCTAGGCAACAGGAAAAATACTCTGTTAACACATAGTGTAATTAAATTATAACACTTTATTTAATTTGTGGCAGTGTAAACATCTTATTTCACATATTTTCTTCAAATTCATGGATTGAAAATAAAAAGAAATGAGCTGCCTATCAAATTAAGTGTAGTCTGTTTTAATACTTAGAAATTTGAGCACAGAAAACTGGAGAAGCTACTCCATTCCAGCAGGAGTGGAGAGGACATCTTGCCACTGTGTAGAGTAGGCGGCAGACAGGATTTTGTTCCACAAGTTCAGAAAAAGCCATAGTAAAGATGCCAAGGTCCCTAAGTACTGAATTCATAAGAGAACTACCCTCCACAAACCTCTCTGAGCCATGCCACTGCTGGTGGTGCTGAACTGGTGAAAGTCAGATGGCAAACTAGATTGGAAAACCATTCCTAATCAAAACTAACCGTGTTTTTTATTTTGAATGCAGTTAAGTAATTATACTCCAAATTTCATTTTCCTCTTTTTCATTTGTAATTCAGGGCAAGAGGGGAGAGCTGCACCAAAATTATATAGCCAGAACTTCTGGAAAGAACTGAGCTAGTCTATTTGCCTGGTAGTGAACAGTAGTGTCTAGACATATAGATTTGCTCAGACTTGGGCTGGGGAATGCTGCACATAACCCCATTTCTCACTGTGGACACACTCTTATTTGCTTCCATTCTGCAAGGATTGGATGTCATTCAGTTGCTCCTCCATTACCCTCCCACAGGAATACAGCAGAATGAAAATATTTTATTAAACACGTTATTGAATGTAATTTGAACAATTTGTTATCAAAGTGTACACTTTATTTAACGGAAAAAGAAATACCAGGTCTGTTACTAAACTGCAGCATAGGAGAAAGAAAGAGGGGAAAGACATTTTTAATTAAATTTAGAACTGGAACATAAAATCAGGAGTGGCTTTTTGAAATCTACTTTTGCCATTAATTCAACATTATTAAAATGGAACACATAATTGGGCTGTGATATAAAACACTAATTTGAATGCAAATCCTGTTTATATGCAACAATTTACCAAATTGGGACCACTGTCCTCATGTTCTCAGCGAGTTCCCAGAAGTGTGTGTGTATGCAAATGTGGTTTCACACAGAAAAACGAGCTTAGACTAACAGCACATGACAGTAAATGAGTTCCCTTTGCAAGCAATAGGCAGACAGGGCTACAAAAGCCTGCCTTGTAGCATCTGAAATCTGTCAGCACCTTTGCATGTACAGAGGTGTTAATGTCTTTGCCCCTCTAATGTATACAGAGTGTAAAACATTTCAAAGCATAGAAATGTAATTGCGTTTTCCTTAAGCACAGCATTCATCTTTTTTTAAAAAGGTTTAACTTGACATTTATTGTTAAGCAAAGTAATTAAGTGCCATGTGCTTCTGTGTATTTTCCCTTGCTCAGAAACCCCAGGAATGCTTCTATGTAAATTACTTTAATCAATCATTTTGTTTATGTGACAATCCATAATCAAAATACCAGATATGCATTTTGAGTAGGGGGTCTAAATAGCAAGTTAAACCCAAGGTAGAACACAGAGCTATAGATGACATTTCTGCTGAGGAATGAAGCCTGAGCATCCTCTGTGCATGAGGCAGAAAAGATAAAAAAGCATTAGAGCAGAAGAGGGATTGCTACTTATAACTTTGAAGTAATCCTCATGTTTGGTTGTTTGGTAAATAACAGAAGATATTATTTATTTGCTCATATTAAGAGGAATACACGCAGAGCTACAATCAAGCATTATGCAGGTGCAGACTTGGCAGCAGCCAGCCAAACTGAACACCAGTATCAGAAAAACAGCAAGAGCTACACTGCGGGCAGTTTAAGTTCTACTCCTGCCAGATCCATCCTCCTTTTCTAACTACTTTGTCTGTATGTTAATGATTTAATACAGGCAAACAGTTGAACAAAGTAAAGGTAAGAAATTATGTTCCTAAATGAAGATTTATCTACCTATTCACATGTAATTATGTGTTAAGATAAAACATGCATT